AAAATTCATTCCATATTCATTCATACAGTTCACTCCCCTTATTTCTTTTCATCGACATAGCCAGATTTAAGACAAAATAAAACAACCAACCCGCGTGAATACCACCGGGCGCTGTGTTCATTCAGCGTTAAAAAAATAACTGTATCATGAAATAGAAAAAAAAAAATCTTTATAAATAAGTTGTGACATTTTACAGTATTATTTACAAAAACATTTTATTTTATATAATTTCACACGTTGTATGGCAAATAATCAACCATATAAAGAGGTTCATAAGTTAATTCATATTGAAAGAAGTTTTTGGTATCTTCATCATTTTCATTATGCTCATCTTTTAGATCCTTTAAGTTATGTTCCACAATTTTCATATCTTCATAATATCCAATATTAATATTATTACTATCATTCATACTAGCATTGTATATTTCAGAACGTGCCTCACTATTACAAATACGATCTAAAATAAATAAAATGAGGATTTTAAAAATGCATAAAATACAAATAACTGCTTTGAACATAAACATGATAAAGATTTAAAATAAAATTTTTCATCCGTTAAAAATAATTTTAATAACGATAAAAATTGTATAGATAAACCTATTAAAATTAAATGTATTTGAATTTCTTTTTTCATGGCAAAATTTTATTAAAAAATTATTAAAAATAAAATTAGGACCAAATTTTACCCATTCCAAATGTTTTTAATAATAAAACATAAAACACGTTTTGGTTTGTATTCTATTATAAATATCCACCTTCCACTTTAAGTAGATATTTGGAGAAATCGTAAAGTGTTTAACAAATATTTTATTCTTTATATCTCTCTGTTTGCAATTTCTTTTTTCATATTATAAAATTAAAATGAAAGTTCCCATTAAAAATTAATTATACATATAGATTTTTATCCCTGATGGGACCAAAAAAAATTATTTAACTACGTATTGTAGTATAGTTTTTTGAAACTAATATTTTTCTCATTCAAAAATTATAAATTTTCAATAGTTTCTGGGAAAATGAGTGTCTACCAGATTTCGATTACTCTTCATTTAAACATTGGGAATAAATAAAAATAGAAGTTACAAAATGTATAATATTGGCCTTATTTAAAAGAACTATATTTTTACTTACCTAAAACTTTAAAATCAATAAATTTCTTATATTTTGAAACATTAAAATAACGGATTTTAAAATTTTGTACAATAAAATTAAAATCTTTACTCCTTTTTTCTAAATCGTTCATATAGATATCAACTTTTTTAATGATATTTTCTAACTGATTTTTAATGGCATCAGCATTATTCATAGTAATATTTTTATTAGTTAGAACTATATCACTTGTAAAATATAATTTGTTTTCAATGAAGATATTTGTAAGTACTTTAAGTAATAAATTATTATATTCAATATCGATTTTGGATAACCTTGGTTTTTTAATGTAATTTTTAATGGCTTTAACTAACTGTCCTAAGATGTCACGCAGAAATGTCTTTTTATATTGGTATGGGGGGAGAGTCATGAATTTTATTACATGTTTTATTATTTTTTGTCCCATATCAATAAAATGCCGTTTTAACCAAACTGTTACACTATCAAAATTATCTGAAGATGCAACTTGAATTAAGATTAAGAAGTTGCGAATAAGAATAGCTAAGGGTCGAAACGTAGCCGAAATTACCAACTTTATGTACGGTAAAACATCCATAGAATTAAAATCATATTTCATATACTGAAATATATCTTGTATAGTTAAACGAGTACCGTTAGAGCATTTAACGTTAAGTGGAGTGAATCGAAGTAGATTTAATTTTATGTGTTGACTATTATCTATTTTAATAGTATTATTTTTATTGCTGAGAATCTGTTGGGTCATTATATCGTAAAACAAAATATTTTTTGGATGAAATTTATTGTATGAATTCTTTTGTATTATAAAATGAAAAGTATCCAGTATTTTATCTTTGAGTTCATAATTTATATTTATTAGATTTGTAGTAGTATATCCGTTTTCACCGATTGTAGGATTGCAACTAACCAGACAATTATAAAACTGTATGTTTTCACAATATCTATTTATATAAATTGTTAGTTGATTTTTAACTGCGAAATGAATAATTTTATATCCCTCGAATAATTTTTTAGCATCATTTTTTTCACCATCTTCGTTTTGAGCAATCATATTTAAAGAATCAGAAACATTATTTAAGTACATATTTACCGTTATTAAAGTAAAAGGAAACTTTTTTTTACTATAATTAATATAGTTATACAAAAATATCATAATTACATTACTGTGCGTTTGAAGTGCATTGCCATAGTTCATAAGATTTTCTATCGTTATATAATCATTATTTTTTTCGAATTCTAATAAAAATCTTTCATTATGGTTAAAAAAGTTTAGAAAATAACGAGAATATGAACACTGTGCCTGTTTTCCATATTCACTTAAGCTTAATTTTATGGATATCATCATTATGAAAAGTAAAAAGTTTTCCATTTTGCCACTTATTTATATTAAGTTGATTCCCTACAGAGTTTAACTCGAAAAAAATGTCGACATTAGTTGTAATAAGAATGCTAAGTATTATTTATATGATTTTTATATATAATAAAAATTGATTTATTAGTTTTTGGAAAAAAAAGTATACGTGTTCATTTTACATCTTTTTTTAATTATTTTGTTGACGTAATTGTTATATCTATAGACTATAAGTTAAATTGTAATATTCAAATTGTTATTTTTTACCTCTGTCAATAACTAAGGTTTTCGAAAATACACTAAAAATATAAAAAATAAATAATTAATTTTAACCAAATACAATATTAATCCTATTTTAGCTTCAATACAAAACTAAAAAGATTTTGATTTTATGATCATGTGCTTTTAGATTTATATTACCACTAATTTTTGATAATTTTTTATTTATGCTAATTAGTTAAAAATATATAATAAGTATTAAAATATAATTTAAGTAGTCATATAGAAATTATTATAAAGACTTCTATTTAAATGATCTATTACAATATAAAATAGTGATTTTAACGAAATTTCGTGTTTTCCTCATAAATTTACTATTAATAGTAATTATATATGTTTCTAATCACATATCAATTTAAAAAATACAACTCTTAAATCCTCATAAAAATTTCAATTCTATTTTATAATATTGTATTTAAGAATTTTCTTCGTCAAAGTTTATTAAAAATTTGTAAAGAAAAAAATCTTATTTTTATATTAAATATTTTTTTTTGTTTATTAGAATGCATATTCAAATTAATATCAATATTGTTAAAAATAATTACTAATGTTGTTTTGAAACAAAACGTTTAACTTAAGGAAATTTTATTGTTGAGAGCAGTTTTTTCTAAACAACTATTTCTATAGATTGATAATAGATGTAACCTTATTTTTTACTCTCTGATCTACTATTATCAATATTTTATATACGTCGTAGTTTGAAAAAGCATTTAGAGTCACTTTTCACGTTTTATTTAATACATTAAAAGAAAATAAATTACTAAAAAGATTTTTCTATTCCTTTTATTTATCTTTTAATTTATTTGATGTGATTTATTCTAAATACAGAATTTTTTATGAATATATACCCACACACACACACACACATATATATATATATATATTTATTATTAAAAATCTCACATTAAACACGTGATGATGGCATGTTGTCTACATAACGATGATATTGTATACTAATGTATCACAAACATAACTAAGAACGTAATTTATTTTTTTCTTAGTAATGGTTATTTAAACTAAAAAAATAAACTCTTATCAACAAGTTTCCAATTTGTTAGAGTAAACCTAAAAATTTGCTTTTTTTTATTAAACAATATTTCAATATTCATATGAATAAATATTCGCTACGAGATTTCGCTTAACTTGGGCTCCGCAAAAGGCCCGGTGTCCTTCGAGCTATTCTTTCAGATAGGCCACTGATTCCTGTAGGAGTACACTACCACGCCGGGTACGATATGTGTTGTGCAAATAAAATTTACCAGAAGCAGTTGACCAGAAAATTATTCCCACCTGTGTCTTAAACAATAATATGATTACAAAATACTTAGATGTATTCACAATTATACTTCATAATAACTCACAAATTATGGTTCAAAACAATGTGTAGGCGAAAAAACTGCCGTATTATTAATGAAAACTAATGTAAAATTTAATCATAATAGACACTCGCACACCAAAATCATTTCTTACTAAAAACTAAGCGCGTGTATTTCTAAAGAGAAACTCTTCGTTAAGTAATTTTTCAATAGTTTATTGTATAATCAGTTGATAGGCGATAAATTTTAAACGCTCATAGCGCATGGACTTTTGGTCCGATTTCGGATTTTCAGGTTTTTCTACTTTGAAACATGAAGATTACAGTGAAATATGAGCGAAATGGTAAAAAATCTTTTACATGGAGAGAAATAACGTGAAAAATTCCGTCGGTGCATCTCGGAGTGCCGAGAACAAAAAATCCTCAACAACAAAAAACAGAGTTCTTTTCGAATGTCTTTGAGCTGGCCTAGTTAAATCAGGTTTTAAACACAAAAATCGTTGGCTGCAATGTGCGTTTTTGATAACATTTTTAAAAGCTCACCGTCATAATTTATTTCGTCTAATTGAAAGACTCTGTGCAAAAGTAATATATATATATATATATATTCAATAAATATTCAAGAAAGTTAGTGTAAATAATTAGAAAAACAGCATTTTTTAAATTTACTGTTAGGTGGATACATGTTAAAATTTATAATTTTTTCAGTTTCCTGAAATTTTTGAAAAATGGAGACAATTGGTTTTTGCTTATTAATTAAAAGGGTTCTCAAAAACTTTTTTTGGTATCAAAAAAAATCTCGGACGATCACAGATTTTGGAGGACTGAGTGGTCGTAGATACATGATCAATATTACAAATTACTACATATAGTGATTTGTATATTAAATAACTACAAAAGTTATTGAAAGGGCTACTGGGCTCACAAGGTAAAAGAACAGAAACAATTTTTCTGATAAAACAATGAATGATTTATTTTTCCTATAATGAAAGATGAATGTTAATAAAAAAAAAATATATTATAACATTAAACTATACATAATCTTAACAGTTAGTAAACATTTAACAACATTTATATTTAATTTCTCAAGGAATATATTAAATGACTTAAACCTCAATTCACCAAAATTATAAATGTATATAAATATAGATATAGATATAATATATTATTATAACTTGCCAATAGAAAAGAACAAGTTATTTACATCAATAAATACTTATACATAAGTGGCTGAGGAACACATTTATGGTTTGACTTCTTTTATTTAATTTAGCAATTTTTACTTGAGATGATGTTGCTGTGAGGCACACACATTCCGACATAAATGAGCAACCACAATTGGCCGAGAACAAAATCCACACAACGGGATTATTCTGAAGAACATATTTCTTCTAGACACATGTATCTGAGTAGCCCACAATTGGCTTAGACCAAAAAATCCACATAAAAGGATTATTCAGAAGAACCTATTTCTTCTAGACACATGTAGATTCATAACTATAAAAAAAAAAGGTATCAGTCTTTTATCACTAAAGGACAACATGAAAAATGTGATAGCCTTCCACAGTGTCGCCCTATTCTGCGGCGCGAACATCATCCCCCCGTCTAAAATAGTTTAGACGATCATTGGCGCCGTTGAATTGAGGTCTGAAACAATAGTGCCAGATGGAGTGGAAGCAGGCTTAAAATTGCAATAAAATTTAACAGAATTTCAACAAGGTAAAAGTTGCAATAAAAAAAGTAACATAATTCATTTTAAACATTAAAAAATATAAAAATATATAAAAATAAAAATCACAATGGATTGCCAATTATAGGAACATATACAACATACTTAAGTAAAATGTTTTACAAACAAAATTTTAATAAAAAACATAAAACATGAAAATTAATGAATTATTTATAATCAGTCTTAATAATACTCAACCTTAACATCAGGCAGCAATGGATGGCATGACGAGATGACATTAACATTAGTCGGCTGGCAGAGGAACAACCTTGACCACTGGTCGTGTAACTATTCCCACTTGAGTTCTAAGCTGAACTACCCTAACTACCCCATCTTGCCCAGGATGGGTACTAATTATGCGACCCAGTCGCCATTGTAAAGGAGGGGTATGATCCTCTTTAATGATAACCATATCATTCACCTTTAAATTAGGAGTATCCATCCCCCATTTACTTCTAAGCTGCAGAGTGTTGAGATATTCGTGAGACCACTGTCGCCAAAATGATTGATGGCACTGTCGAAGCAGTGTCCATCGTTTAATCAAACCAACAGAACTTTTACTAACATCAAGCTCAGGGACAGCTAATAAAGGTTCACCTATTAGAAAATGCCCAGGAGTGAGACACTGTAAATCATGGGGGTCACTAGACAGAGGTGATAGAGGCCTAGAATTTAATATTGACTCTATGCGTATAATGATGGTAGTAAACTCTTCATAAGAAAAAACATGATTACCCATACATTTAAACAATAAAGATTTTGCGGACTTCACTGCTGCTTCCCAGATACCACTAAAGTGCGGGGCATTTGGAGGATTAAAATGCCAAACACTAGGAACTGCCTTGGCCAATGCTGCACGATTCTTCTCAGAGCTAACTATCATCTTCAACTGACGTTCAGCACCAACAAAATTTGTTCCATTGTCTGAATAAATGTCTGATGGATAACCTCGACGTCCAACGAAGCGATCAAGTGCTGCAAGAAAAGCTTCAGTCGATAGTTCAGTAACCACTTCAATATGCACTGCTTTTACACTCATGCAAACAAATATAGCAATATAAATTTTGAACAAACGTGACTTACGAAGGCTGGTTTCTTTCATAGAAAATGGTCCAGCATAATCAATGCCGACATGACTAAAAGGTCTACTCTGTTGTACGCGGCATGCAGGGAGATCACCCATCTTAGGTTGAACGTTAGTAGCTGACATTCTAATACACACTACACATTTTGATATAAGTCTACGAATGACCTGTTTAATTGAAATAATCCAAAATCGGCGGGAAATCATAGATATCAATAGTTTACCTCCAGAATGACAAGTAATTTCATGCCAATAACGACACAATAAGAACGCCAAGTGCGATTCTTTTGCCAACAAAATAGGGTGTTTTCTAGAATGACTAATATTAGCATGTCTTATACGACCTCCAACTCGTATAACTCCAGAGTCGTCTAAAAAAGGTGCTAATTTAGATAAATAACGGTTTTTGATTGACAATTGATTGTGCAATTCTTGGATTAACTGAGCAAAATAGTATCTTTGAGAAACCTTAACCAATGCCATGAGTGCCTCTTCTAATTCCTTTTGACTCAAGATCGCCGATGAATAATGATGACAATTGCAACGTTTGTAAAATCGCAAAATCCAAGCCATCCTACGAATAGATTGAGTATAAGATGACCACTGAACTAACCACTCCTCTTCTGATTGTGCAACTAACACCACAGTGGTACTCTGAACTACTTCTGGTAATTCTGCAACATTAATACAAGGAAAAGTACATTCCCATTGAGCTGACGGACATCTTAAAAACTCGGGACCCTGCCAATACAAAGAACAAAATACTAACTCAGAGGGCAACATTCCACGGGATGCACAATCTGCTGGGTTCATCTGAGTCGGCACATATAACCAAATACATTCAGGTACTAAGGACCGGACTTGTCCAATTCGGTTTGTGACAAAAATTTTAAATTTAACTTGAGGCGTTGTTAACCAAGAGAGAACTATAGTAGAATCAGTCCAAGCAAATATTTCCTTGATTACAAACCGATCACTCAAAATTGTCTTCCATCTAGCCAGCCATCGAGCCAATAATGCAGCTGCACATAACTCAAGCCGTGGGACTGACATAGACTTTATAGGAGCTAATTTCGTCTTACCTCCAAGAAAATATACATGCACAATACTATCATCGTCCACCACACGTAGGTAGGCAAGAGCCGCATAACCTTTCAATGACGCATCACTAAAACCAAGTAGTTGGACACGGGCATTAGGTGGTGCAATAATTGAACGAGGAATTTTGACATCTGAAAAAGACGGTAATTGACTGACAAAGGATAACCATTGACGTTGAATCTCCGCTGGTAGAGCATCGTCCCAGCCACATTTCTCCTTACACAACAGCTGCATAATTGATTTCGCACGAAAGCACTCCACGTTTTGTCATGATATTTTCAGACAGCTTGGTAATATAAGAAAATTCATCTTTTACCGGATTCCATACCATTCCAAGGACCTTCAACAGTCCAGGAACCTCTTCTGCAAACTCGGTGGCTCCGAGAGCTCTATCTTCTTTAGGAATCTGGTTACTTAAAACTGAACAATTAGTCGCCCATTTCTTCAACTCAAACCCAACTTGACCCAAAACCGCGGTGAGATCTCGCTGCAGGTTGAGTACCTCTTCTAAACTATCCGCTCCAGAGCATATGTCATCAACATATGTATGAGCACGGAGAGCAAGCTGAACAGCAGGAAATTCAATAGCCTTATTGGCAACTTCGTGGAGCACACGAATGGCCAAATAAGGGGCACTTGTCACACCATAAGTTACTGTTGATAATTCAAATTCTTTAAGATCACATTCTGGTGAATCACGCCACAGGATATGTTGGAAACTTTGATGCTCAGGCAACACATTAATCTGACGATACATTTTACAGATATCGGATGAAAACACATACTTATAGGTTCGGAATAGAGCCAACACATTGACAATATCAGATTGTAACTTAGGACCTGGAAATAAGCAATCATTAAGTGAATATCCACTTGGTGCACGTGCTGACGCATCAAAAACAACTCACAATACTATCATCGTCCACCACACGTAGGTAGGCAAGAGCCGCATAACAATCGGAGAGACCGATCAGTGTAGTGTTGCCGCCCAGAGCATCAGTTGGCTGATCGGTCACTCCGCCCATACCGCCACCTGTGGTAGTGTATGTACACTACACTGTCGTCAATGTAGTCGTCGTCGAAACCGAAGGTTTGAGCAAGCATCCAGCATGATTAATTGATGCAGGTGAATGCACTCGTTAATGCAAATGCGTTTATTGGCAACAGTTTATTGTAGTAATAAATAACGAGTTGCTAATAATGACATATGTAAATTTCTAAGAAATATTAAAAACGAGTATTATTATTTTATTGCGCAGTTTGAGGAAAACAACTTTTTAAAATACGAAGTGTATTAGTATAAAAGGTCACTATTCGCATTAAATTTTGCATAATGCAAGTGTATACTACTGCACTTGGCACGTATCGTGACTACATTAACAAACAAAATACGGGGAAAAACGGTGGTTTGACGTGGTTAGGACACGATTTCTCGGGACCAGGTAATAAAGTTGCAAATGAAAAAAACGAATTTATTGCTGAAAGCCTGCCAACAAACGAGATAGACTGGATAGCTTTAGAACACGACGTACAATATCACAATGCAGGTTCAGGTAACATTGAAGAAATAGGAAATTACGACCTGCAAGCGGCTAATCGGTCATTGAACGTTAAAAATTCTAATTTCGGCGGTAAATACGCAACGTTTCTTGGCCTGTATGCGAAACATTTTTTGGAAAGAACTTGGCAAGGAATAACCGGAAATTCAAAAGCTCTATATCCTAATTCAGAAAAGCCTGTTCATCCTATAGATTGGTTTACTAACGCCAAAACAAGACGTAAAGGTAATGTATAACGCTATTTTTAATAAAAAAGCTTTTTTTGAAAGTTTAAACTTTTTTTGAACTTTGAACTTTTTTGTCTAAAACTTCTCAAAAATGAGTTATTTACGTATATTTAGGCATCCCGAGTGTTTTCTGTAAGTTTTAAGCAAAAAAAAAATTTTGTTGTAAAATCGTCCAAAAAAACGTTGGTGATATGTACTAGTCGGATAATACGTTGATTTTCATATTGTGCACCAAAATCTTTGAAAAATCGTAGAAAATAGAATTTTTAACTTAGAGACTTCGTACGTCTACACGTGAAAGGCCTTGAAAATAGCTTAATTTTACAATAATAAAAAGTTGAACTTTGAACTTTTTTTAACTTTTATATAAAACTTTGAGCTTTTTCATTTTTTCAAAAATTTTCGTTTTTTTTACTAGACTTGTCATCGACGTCACATGTGGAAGAGAATACCGAAAGAACAATGTCAGGAGCAGAGCGAGCAGCAGGAGGTGGCGACAAACGAACTGATGAACAAGCTGGTCTCGATACTGGAGGAACTTCAGCAAAAAAATCGAATATTGGAACGGCAGAAGCGCTCACTGCCGGCACGAGTATTCCGGGCATCGGTCCTAACGCTGACGCTGGTGACGCTGCTGCTGTCAGTATGTTACACATGGTCATCCCTAGACCCCTCGATGATACAAAAAATAAGTACCTGGTTTTTTCTAAAAATCATGAGTTTTTATCATATGGACTACAATAGAAACCTATTAAACATACTGGAAACGCATTTTGGGGCACAACGTCATTAGCGGAAATTCCGGTTGACCGATGTCATTTATACCTCACTGCCGACGAAATTAAAATATTGCCCCCAGGTAGTTATATAGAAAAAGTATTGTGTAAAGTTATATTACGCGGAATCCGAACCGCATACGAAACCGCTACAACACAATCAGAATTGGCCACATTAAATCAAAATAAATGGGGAGTGTACGCTATTGGATTGAATAAAACAGTTCCCGGCGTAACAAAAAAATACACTACCGTCGCTTCTAATTCCATGGAACCACAGGACGTCAGAGATTCAGCTCCAGATACATATAATAAACAACACGATGCATGGTATTCAAGTACAAGTAAACCTCAAGATACGTTACCCTGTAGTTTCATGAATTTACCGACTGTATTGCAAAATTATTTTACATTGTACACGGACACCGGAGTTCAAAGTGGATATCAGTGGCCTCGCTTTAATAGATACATAACGAAATTTGATGCGAATGCGGCCGTAGGCACAGTCATTGTCAATTATGAATACAGTCCTAAAATAGGTTTACTTCAACGACCACTCAACAGTTATCAGACATATTATTGGCCCGATACTAGCAATAGTAATTATTTTCAGTGTCAACAAGCCGATTATTTTTGTCCAAACGGTTCTGCTATACTCAAAATAAAAAGAGATAAATACAGTTCAACTAACATAGACAGTAAAACTATGAATATTGCTTCAGTTCATGATCAAATGAAAAGTTGGACTTATGTCGATTCCAGCCGTCACATATCATTAATAGACTTGTCTCATGTACTAGTCAAAAAAAATAAAAATTATACACCATCAGAAGCTCAACCTTCATTGCACGTTGGCGTTTATCCCGTACCGAAAATTACGGCAAAGGATAATACGATTGTACCTACAAAATTTTTAGATGTAGAAGCTTATTATACAATTGAAACAACGTGTATTGTTAAGTTTGGGTATCCTACTGTTATGGCTCGATTTAAAGACTGTAACGTGGACATTGAAAAAGAAATGTTTACAATGGGTGTGGACGCTGGTGTAGCCGAAGCCGACGGGAATTACTCTACGTGCTACGGTAAACATTCTTTAAAAACAATAGATGCGGAAAACTAATTGCGGCGGCCGTTTTCGATACTGTAAGAGAAAATTTGGCCGCCAAAAAAAAAAACCTACAGTCATCCAGTACGACGTCTTTACCGTCAACATTAAGTACACAGTCCACGTCTAGTGTTAAACCTAGTAGCGATGCACCACAATCCGTATTGACTACTACCACTACGGCTACACCGGCAGCTAAAAGCGCAGAGGAGTTGTTGCCACCTGTTCCGGATTATTTGGTCATGAGAGAACGTTATTATTTTGATGGATNTTATTATTATTATTATTCCGGATTATGAAACGGTGCCCTTAGATTTGGAGGAATACTGACGGACAATCAGTGGAAAAGCGTAAGATTAGAAAAAGAAGATAGGAGAGCTACTCAGGAAGAAGTGAACAAAATAATGTCCATGTATTTTGTAGGAGTACAGAATGGAGACCAATTAGCTGATAAATATAATTATATAAATAAAAAAGGAAAATATAATCCTATATATAACTTATTGAAAAATAAAAAACCATAATTACTATAAAATTTTTGTTTTTATTTATAAAATTTTTAATTTTTCCAATAACAAATAAAACATTTTGGGATTTAATTTTCCCTTATATTGTTTTAGGAAAGGCGCAGCTTTCCACTCATACTGACATATACGACTTTCAAAGGCAGGATCGGAAAACAACGGTATAAAATGATTAGTTAAAATTATTATTGGTGGGCCCTGAATATCTTGATCTCCCATATATTTAACGCGTATTTTGGCACTGTCTCCACCCAACAACATTTTCAATGTTTCCGTTTCGTTCGATTCGTAATTGGGTTCGTTCCACAACACTAACCGCCTGTTATCCATGTCCTGATAACCAAACGGTGAATGTTTGTTTAGCGTAGAAATTATGCCATAATTTAAAAAATAGGAGCAGACGGCGTCAAAAAAAAAGTTCTTCCCGGCATTAGGAGGAGACAGTACCGATAATGTGTTGCGTTTTGGANACAGTACCGATAATGTATTGCGTTTTGGGACGTTCTTTTCGACCACATCGTACAAATCGTAAATAAATTTATGTATTCTCTCGAAATCGTCGTCGAACTGATACACTAACAGTTCGACGGCTATATCGAGAGATTCCTCCGGTGTATAATAAAACGATGATTTACAATTTGTAAACGCGTAAAGATTGAAATACAGTCGAACACCAGGTGAACAATAATAGTCCCAAAATTGTTGAACGCTCCATTGATTCAATATTATAGCCCAATTTTTAACTA